AAAGACCCTGATGCTGGGAAAGATTGAGGGCAGGAGGAGAAGGGGACGACAGAGGATGAGATGGTTGGATGGCATCACTGACTCGATGGACATGGGTTTGGGTGGCTCCGGGAGTTGGTGATGGACAGGGAGGCCTGGCGTGCTGCAGTTCATGGGGTCACAAAGAGTTGGACACAACTGAGCGACTGAACTGAACTGAACTGAAGTTTGTTTTTTATGTCTGTTTCTCCTTTGTAAATAAGTCCATTTGTATTATTTTTAAGATTCTACATATAAGTGATAGCATATAACTGTCCCTGGGGAATTTTAACCGAGAGAAAATGCAGCAGAAAGAAATAAAAACCTGAATATTCCTGTATTCTTTCTTACATATTCTATTCCAGTGGGGCTTTGCTGGTGGCTCAGACAGTAAGGAATCTGCCTGAAAGGCAGGAGTCCCGGGTTCAATCCCTGGGTTGCAAAGATCCCTTGGAGAAGGAAATGGCAACCTACTTCAGTATTCTTGCCTGGGAAATCTCATGGACAGAGGAGCCTGGAGGCTGCAGTCCATGTGTTTGCAGAGAATCGGGCATGACTGAGTGACTAATACTTCCATTTTCATAGAAGAAGAAGGAATTCTTTGTCCCTCAAATCTTTTTATAAGGTTTACATAAATTTGATATTAAAATTTGACAATGGCAGTACAAGATAGGATAACTATAGGCCTAATCTCATCTATGAACAAAGATATAAAAATCTTAACAAAATATTAACAAAAACTCAGAAATGTATAGAAAGAATAACCCATCATGACCAAGATAGTTCTATCCCAGGAATGTAATACTGGTTTAATATTAGTAAATTAATGAATATAACTTACCAAAATAAGAGCTCATTGAAAAAATATGATTATCTTAAAAGATTCAGAAATACTAATGAAGAAACATTGAAAATATCTTTTACAATCAGAAACAAAAACATTAAACAAAACAACAACAAAAGAACATCTTTCAACACTGTATTATTAATAGACCTGTCAGTGGAATAAGGCAAGAAACTATCCTTGAAGAATAAGAATCGGAAAGAAAGAAAAAATAATATCATTATTGGGAAATGATATGATTCAGAATATAGAAAACCCAAAATAGTCAACATATAAATTATTAAAATTAGGGAATGGATCAATATATATATATAGCTATATCAATATATATATTGGCTATATATAAAGTCAATACACAAAAATCAACTGCCTTTCTATTCACCAGTAACATAAGAAAATAATACTTAAAAAATATAATTTACAATAACGTCAAAAAATATAGAGTACCTAAAGAACAAATGTACAAGAATAAATGTATAACCTAATAAAAATGTATAAGGTCCTTCTGGAGAAAATTATAAAAATTTATTTAAAACATTGAAAAAGATTCAAATAAACAGAAGAATATATCATGTTTATGGATGGGAAGCCTCAATATCATAAATATTTCAATTCTCCTAAAATGGATGTGTAATTTCTCTCAAAATATTCTCTTTTTTGGTGGAACTTCAAAAGCTGAATATAAAATATATATGGTAGTGCAATGACTTATGACCAGCCAAGGGAAATGTGAGAGGACTGGGCCTCTCATATATCAAGCATTATCAAACTTTGGTAATTAAGACAGGGTGCTATTGGTGTGGAGATTTAGACAGACCAAAAGAAAACAATGGAGAGCCCAGACACATAAATATGGACATCTGCTAAATGTCAGAGGTGGACTTTCAAATCAGCATGAGGAGTCCAGCTTTTTAATAAATAACCCTGTGCCACCTTATTTTCTCTACAAAAAAGAATAAAGTCAGATTCTTTACCTTATGCCAAATATAAAAACCAAACCAAATATAAAAATTCAATTCAACTAGATTAAAGACCTAAACATAAAAGGCCAAAATTAACAGAGAATACTCTGAAGGAGACAGAATAAGCTACTGCTGTAGAAAGAATTTCCCAAACGTAAAATGTAAAAACAATAAAGGAAAATACTGACTAAAATCATCTTAAAATTAAGTTAATATTCATCCAAAGGCACTATAAAGAGAAAGAAACTAAAAGTCACAAACTGGGAGAAGGTAAGTGCTACACATATAAACAGTAAAGGGTTACTATGTGGACGGTATAAAGAACGCCATTGCATCAATATGAAAAAGACCAATACAACAAGCCTGCAGAAAACTGGAAAGACTTTAATGGGCACTT